AGAGTTTCCCCAGGCAGTTCTCTTTTTCGAATTTCTGTCAAAAGTTTTCCAGTTCGATACCATGTGGGTCAGACTAAGAATTCTTGATTTAGTTCTTCGTCTTCGATCGTCTTGTTGATTAACCTGCTAGTTTCAGAGGTTTCTCAAATGGGTTCTCTGCAACTTTACCTTATTGTCAGTCTTTCATGGGCTTTTTTCTTTCCCTATGCCCAACAGCTACAATCCTCTCAGACCCAAATCCTGTTGCAGATCAGGAAACATTTGGAGTACCCTTCTTCCTTGGAAGTTATGAACACTTTCGATGGTGACCTCTGTAATGTTTCCCCATCTCGAGAGATGACCATTGCGTGCCAGAACAATGTAGTGACTGAACTCAGAATTATGGGGGATAAGTTTGTCAAATTTAGAGGGTTCAATGGGGTTCCAATTCCAAATCAAACTCTATCTGAGAGATTTTCCATGAATTCCTTCGTTACTACATTGTCAAGGCTAAGTAGCTTGCGGGTTCTTAGCTTAATTTCTTTGGGAATTTGGGGGCCACTTCCTGAAAAAATTCATCGCCTCTCCTCTCTTGAGTTTTTGGATTTTAGCTCAAATTTCATATTTGGTCAAATCCCACCTAAAATTTCTACCATGGTTCAACTCCATTCAATGGTTCTCGATGGTAATTACTTCAACGATACAGTCCCGGATTGGCTTGACTCCTTAACGAACCTTACCTTTTTGAGCTTGAAAAGAAATAGACTCACCGGCCAATTTCCCTCTTCATTATCCAAAATTAGAACACTAGCCGACGTTTCTCTGTCTCACAATGAAATTTCTGGGGAATTGCCCGACTTGAGTGCTTTGACCAATTTGAATGTGTTGGACATGAGAGACAATAAGCTAAACTCTGTTCTTCCAGTCATGCCAAAAGGATTAATTACACTTCTACTTAGCAAGAACGCGTTATCTGGCGAAATTCCTAAGCACTTTGGTCGGATGGCTCAGCTTCAACATCTTGATCTATCATCCAATCAACTGACGAGGTCACCACCTCCTTTCTTGTTCAATTTGCCAAACATTACATACCTTAATTTAGCTTCAAATAAGATGAGTGGATCCCTTCCAAATCCTCTAAGGTGCAGTACAAAACTTGGGTATGTTGATATTTCAGACAACAAGTTAACTGGTGCTCTTCCCACTTGTTTGGGAAGTTCTTCAGACAAGAGAATGGTTAAATTTGGTGGGAATTGTTTTTCTTCTGATTTGCAACATCAGCGTGAAGCATCATTTTGTGCAGAATCCCTTGCAGAGACAGGAAAATCTAGAAGAAAAGAAAAACTGTTGGTTGTTGCTGCCTTCGTCAGTGGAGCTGTAATTCTTATCGTGCTTTTACCCTTTGGACTTATTTTTCTGTACCGAAGGCTCTGTAAAAGAACAGTACAAGAACTGTCGGTACCGCCAAAAGTTGTACAAGAAAATTCACCTGCTGCAGTTCCATCTGAGCTATTAGCAAGTGCCAGTAAGTTGTGTCTGTTTGTAGGCAGTAGGCTACATTTCATGTCTTAAGAATTGAGAGGAATTGTTCTTTTGCAGGGTTCATTTCTCAAGCTATGAAGCTAGGTGCCCAGACGGTTCCAATGTGTCGATCATTTTCTTTTCAAGAGCTAAAGGATGCTACAAAAGACTTTGATAAATCAATGCTCTTGGGAGAGGGTTCTATAGGAAAGGTATTCATAAAAACTTCAATTTTCATATAGAGGTTTTGATTCTATTAAAATTTTGAGTTTTTGGTAGTCTTAAATCTTTATTCACTAGCTTTGATTCTTGGGAGTTATGTCAACCAAAAGTTTTTCTTACCTGTCTTTCATCTATGAGCTCATATAGTTCATATAGTTCATTAAGGGATTTCAAGTTTTCACTGTTTTCTTCTTCAGCTCTATAGAGGAAAACTGGAAAATGGGACTCTTGTTGCTGTAAGGTGCTTACCTTTATCCAAGAAATATTCAGTACAAAACCTCAAAGTTCGGCTGGATGTTCTTTCGAAACTTCACCACCCCCATTTAGTTGGCCTCTTTGGCCACTGTATTGAGGGAGACGGACATGATTACTCAAGTGTCAAGCAAGTTGTTCTTCTTGTATACGAATATGTGCCAACTGGGAATTACCGCACCCTTTTGACAGGTTAGTCAAGATTAATGAAAGAAGTAGTCCCACGTTAGCTAATTAGGAGGAAGAGGAAAATCATGGGTTTATAAGTAAGAAACATTATCTCCATTAATATAGGCCTTTTGGAAAAACCAAAAGTAAAGTCATGAGAGCTTATGCTCAAAGTGGACATTATCATCCATGGAGGTTTGTGGTTCCATCATTGAAAATAAAATTTGAAACAGTAACCTCTTTGGTTGCAAGAAAATCTTTGTTGTGCAACAGTTAGCACACTGCCACTTGGTTCTTATATCTAAACCAAATGCAGCCTTGAACATGTTTTAGGTTCTTTTGAGCTTTGCATTTATGATGGAATGTTCATATTGCCATTTATCTGATATTTTAAACGCAGAAACTTATCCAGAGAAGGTCTTGAAGTGGTCAGATAGGTTGACAATTTTGATTGGAGTTGCCAAGGCCATTCACTTTCTGCATACAGGGGTCATTCCTGGTTCGTTCAATAATCGTTTGAAAACAAACAATATATTGCTTGATGAACACCGAATTCCAAAGCTTAGTGACTATGGCACATCGATTATCACCGAAGAAATTGAAAAGCATGAGGTAAGTAAGCTTGTAGTTCTTGGAGTTTGGCTGAACATTTCCAGTGATATTGAGAGATTTCTACTGGCTTCTTTTGTTTTTTAAGTCAACTTATATCATATCTGTTCATTTTTTTGTAGACAAAGGGAGAAGGCACAAAATCAAGGTAAGAAAACAACTGAGCTAAGCACAAATATTATGCATTGTCTTGTGTTATACGAATAATCGGTTGAGGATTGTTGAAAGAGGAATCCCACATTGGAGATGGTCTTTTGTTGAGCATGGTTTTATAAGTAAGGAATACTTGCTCCATTGGTACAAGGCATTTTGGTGAAACCAAAAGCAAAGCTATGAGAGCTTATGCTCAAAGTGGACAATAGCATACCATTTCGTAGATTCGTGATTCTAACAAAAAAAAAAAAAAAAAAAAGTTGATCTTCCAGTTATTCCCTTCATTTCAATGGATGCTTCCCGATACTTTCAGATAGATAGCGTTTTAACTTTCATGGTGTTTGGCTGCAGCAACAGGAAAAACTTGGTGGAGGATGATGTTTACAATTTTGGATATATATTACTGGAATCACTTGTTGGGCCTATAGTAACTGGAAGAGAAGAAACATTTCTTCTAAATGACATGGTATATATATAACTTGTCTCTTTCCATTCAAGTTCATCAACTAATAAAGAGCAGAAGAACTAGCTGATTCTGAATCCCTTGCGTATGAAACAATAACAGGCATCCTTCGGCAGCACGGATGGGCGGAGACGAATCGTGGATCCAGTCGTGTTGACCACCTGCTCCCAAGAGTCCTTATCAAGAGTTGTATCCATCACGAAGAAATGCATATCGACCGACGTATTGTCTCGGCCCTCGTTCGAGGATGTGCTGTGGAACTTGCAGTACGCTGCTCAAGTCCAGGGCGCTACTGATGCTGAGCAAAAGGCTGATTCCATATCTTAGTTAGAACATATTACAAATTAGAGTCCCGTGGTTGCCAAATGAAAGAAAAATCATAGATATATAATATGTAGGAAAAGTCAAAAGCAAAGTATGTGATTGTGATGATCCACTATTGTTATCATTTATCTGACTGACTTATTTTTATAGTTCAACATCACGTGCATCAAGAAGATTCAAAGTTATGAACTATTGGTCGAGAATATGTATAATATATTATTTCATGTTTTTACAGAGACGAGGAAACTGTCAAAGCTGCCAGAACTTGCCATTTGCGAACCGGTTTAGACAGAAATGTTTAAAAGGGGTAACATGGTAATTTCAATATTGTCAAAAGCCATCCCAAATCTGTTGAATAATACCCCTTTATTTGTGGAAATCACCCTTTTTAGTCTTCAGGTTTTTTTTACGATTCTTTAAACAAAATTTTCTTGGCGGAATTTTAGGGCATTTCCCACGTTTTCCGCCCTTCTCCGTCAATTGTTTATTCTTCAACAATCGCTGAAGAAGCCCACCTTCTTCAAATTCTAGAAATGGTCATCCACCTGCTCCACGAGTTGACGGCAACCACCATTTTCATTTGCCTACTTCTTCGCCGGTCAAACTGCGGTAACGTAACGCGCATTCCCTTTCATATAACTGCATACCCATGTTTCCCCAATTCTCCATTCTCATTTCTCCTAATTCACTCTCGCTCTCCACGCATTCAGAATTATGGACAAAATCGCATTGTACGAGAAGGTGTTCAAGCAGGTCGACGGCGACGGTGACGGGAAGCTATCTCTCCCGGAGTTGCAGCGGTGCATGGCGGTCGTCGGGGGTAGCTTGACACTCGAGGAGGCGGAGAAAGTGGTGGAGAATTTGGATTCCGACGGCGATGGGTTGGTGAGCTGGGCTGAATTTGTTGCGTTTATGGAAGAAGTAGGAGAGGAAGAGAAAGTGAGTGATTTGATGGAGGCGTTCAGAATGTATGAAATGGATGGCTGTGGATTCATAACCACTAAGAGCTTGAAGAGGATGCTGAGTAGGCTTGGGGAATCCAGGAGCATCGAGGAATGCAAGAAAATGATAGCTAAATTTGATCTCAATTCTGATGGTGTTCTTAACTTTGATGAGTTTAAGTTCATGATGTCCTGATTTTCTTCCATTTTTATGTGTTCTGAACTTAGATTTTTGGTCACCAGTTATATACGATTTACTCTTTCTCCTTGTGTTCTTCAATGGTTTGCATTCTCTCTCATAAACTAAAAACTAAGTATAAAATGAACGCTCATCAGCTTACTAAATTACATAAGAACTGCAAGTGAAGGCTGAGTTGAATGAGGTTGTTTGTTTATGGATTTGTTTCAGAAGCCTGCAGCCCCTTCACAAGAGGCTTTGTGGAGCTTTCGCAGCTTACGCTCTGATCGCCTTCGGGCAATTCTTCGACCAATCTCGATAACCTGTCGAAAACTTCTGCGGCGCTCGGGCGCAAAGAATGGTCTTCCTCGACACAGGATCTGGCAAGTTTTGCCAATTTGAAAGCAGCATCAAGTGCATAGCTATCCCCCAATGCACTGTCCATCCATTCCCTCAGTTCATCTGCTGCATTATCTGACTCCATGATGGCCTTGATCTTCTCTGTTAGCCATACACTGCCTTCTCCTTTGGCATTTGGCTTTGTTATTGGTGTTTTACCAGACAAAACCTCCAACAGAACAACCCCATAAGCAAATATATCAATGGTTGGGGAAATTATACCTTGGTGAATGTACTCAGGAGCCAAATAACCCAAGCTCCAAGAGGCTGGATTGGAAGAACAGAATTTGGGGTCTTCAATTTCATTTTGAACACATCTTGCCATTCCAAAATTCCCAATCTTTGCATTGAAATCCTCATCTAAGAAAATGTTTCTGCTCTTTACGTTGCGGTGAACGTAAACCGGTTTCATAACGTGGTGCATATGCTGTAGCCCGGCTGCGATGTCCAGACAGATCCGCAGTCTCTGACTCCATGTTAAGAAGCAATAGCAAGAGGTTATGAACTGGTTTTTCATTGCCAATCCTCCGTGAAGCCAGTCCTTCAACGATCCATTTTTCGCATACTCGAAAACCAGAAACGAATCAGGATCCTCAGTTAAACATATTCCCAAAAGCCTCAATATGCTTGGATGTTTGATATCATGTAAAAGGCTAAACTCAATCTTGGAGACGGTTTCATTCTCCGTCCTCTTGATCGCCATGTTCTTCCCGTTGAGACGTCCTTGATACATTGATCCCTCTATCTGATTACTCGTATTGAAATTCTCGGTCGCTCTCCTGATCTCCTCAACTGTGTACATCGCAATGAGCATCTTGCTTGCATTTGATTCCAGGAGGTGACTATCAAAAGTGTCTTGAGATCCCTCAAAAGAGAATTTCTTGTCGCTTGCCGTTCTAATACTGAGACTAAGCTGTTGTAGCTCCATTTCACCTCTTTCATATGACTTCTGTGTCTTCTTCTGCTTGTTTTTCTTGAGCTTAATTACCAAGAAGCATGCCATTGCAGCAATGCTCACCCCAAGTATGACTCCACCAAGTGCAATGTAAACACCAAAATGCACCATTTTTGCTGTATTCTTGTGTGAGTTGATTGAGGGGATGCTGTTGGAAGGAGAACGTAAATCGGGCCGATGCGGTTTCGCCAAAGAACCGAGGATTGGCTCACCATTCACCGGAATCAGAAGGGTTGAAAACGGTTCAAGCCTTTCTGGTTTGAAGGTAGCTAAGGATCTGCTATTAGCAGATATAATAGATTCAGGAGTTGTATTGAAGTTTGTAGCTAAATTGGAAAGTGTGTCACCTTGTCTCACAGGGTAGGAAATCAAGAGCCTTGGCTTTGGACCACCACCTGCATAGGAAGATGGACAGCCACATCTCATTGGTATCAGTAACCGAGCGGAGTCACCGAGACCCCACGGCGACACCCCCATATTCTTCTCCTTTATTGCTCTGCAACTTGTTAATCCCTCCAGTGATTCAGCAATACTGTAAAAGCTCTCTCCTTTAATGGAAGTTTTTGTCAACCCAGCTTGGAAGAAGCTGCCGTTGCACTTACACTCGATGGGTATCAGCAAAGGCTGGTTTAAAGGAAGCAACTCTGTGTCAGCAGAGAAGCCATTGATTTCAGCAATGGCAAATTGGTTGATCCCCAAGTAAAAGCTGAGGTTAAAGAGAGACGAAAACTGCGAGTTCGCGAAAAGAACTGCAAATGTTCCGCACTGCACCAGAGCCTCGTTTCCATTGCAATGGAAGCCGAAGGCATCAGGCGACGTGGAATCACAGCTCAACGAGCTCTCTCCAAATGCAGAGGAAACCAACCAGATGAACAAGATAAGAGCTCTCAAGAACAGCACGCTGATAACAATAGCCATTTCCAAGAAACAAAGCTTCCACAAAAGCACAAACCAGTTAAAAATTGAAGGGGATTTATCCCTCTCGGATCCAGAAGGGGGCATTCGAAAAGATGAGAAATTCTGTCATGGGTGTTGGAGGACAAGATCTTTTGGGGGACACGAACAAGAACTTCTTATACATTTAACCAATCAACTTTGATTCGATTCGATCCGATATGGGATGGTTATTAATCCAAGTTCTTTGCATTGTTTACTCATTGGGAATGATCAAAACCGTAGCTTTATACCTGCTATATTTCTACACAAAACCTTGGATTTTTCGTTGTTCGCTACTAGATTGCTTCAAGATTGCGGTCCCATTTGATTCAACACAAAGTCAAAAGTTCATCGACTTATTAAACAAAATCTGCCTAAAATACCTAACAAAAATGGATCGAAGCCAAGTTAATTGTTGTTCTTCTAATCTCAAAGGAAATGCACACAAGAAATCAAAGAACTTCAATGTTGAATTGATCAATTTCTTGAGCAAAAGGCTACATAAAAAGTATATAAACAACCCATTCTCCAATAATTTAAGAGACATTTTGATGCAGCATAGATACCAAATCTATGCTATAACATAACTTTTAAAATGGGACTACATGTTCAATCAATAATCCAGCCGAAGGAATTGTGAAGCCTCGGCCAACCCTACCTCCTTAGCCTTTTAATTTGATTCCTGCCCTTTTCTCTAAAAAGCTATGATGCTTAGGGGTTGCCTTATTTTTCATTCTTATTCAATCTCCATAATAATGAGGTATGATGTGAGGCCATTTCCATTGACGACCCTTCTCTCCTTAATCATTACTTTTACCGATAGATTTTACTTCTTACCATCTTTATTTCGATCCTATTCTTAGTCAAACAATATGAGGATAGAGATTCGAACGTCTTACCTATAGAAAAAAAAGTTGTATGGATCAAATAAGTTATGTTCGTGTTGAGTCTAAACATCATTACTACACTGATATTGACGGTGTATTTAAAAAAGTTAACATATTTCACTAGCAAGTACGGTCAATCGAAGATGCATAGTAGCCCATAAAGAAATAACTGGTTTTGGGAAGAAATGAAAGGATCATAGAAGTGTTTGTTTGTTTTGATTAAGACATAGGCCAAATGAAGTTATATGTAGACTAAGAATAAAGAGAGAAAAGAAAGATAAGAAAAGGCATTTGTTTCATGCATGCTAAAGCTGAGGCATGAAATGTTGGGGATGTCTTCTGGGTCAAATTCTCCATCACTACTCTAAGTTGACAAGCAGAACCAATAACCACACACGCAGAATAATTATTAGCATACAGAACCTAGCAATCTTCTCAGTATGTGAGCTCGAGCTTGGATGAGCTCAACACGAACTATAACTAAGTTTAAATCTTATTTTGGTCTCGGAGAAGATAAGGTTTTTGCGAGTATTGATCTTGTTCCACTTATCTATCTTGATCATAATATATCTGCATAAAATGATATTAGTGACATAATCATCTGGAAAGGTGGGCATAGCTTTACTGAGAAAAAAAGGTGGAATATGGACACTGCAAAAAGAAGATAATAATAGACAGAAAGTTGGTTCTCCATAAAGTGTGAGGAAGAGGATGCTTTGGTATTGGGGAGCATCAGTTGGATTCCCATTAAACCTAATCAACTGGGACAGGATTCACATTTCAATCATACTTCAATTTCTATTATTACTTCATTTTTTTTATAATAATAATTTAATAAAAGTTAAATTATTATTGTGATGTTTGAGTAAATGAGAGAAGTACATGAATGAACTGAAATAATATCCAAATGAGAATGATGGTAAAGATATGATACTTCAGAAAAGGCTTAAAGTAATTGAAAGTTTCAAAAGCATACGATAAACTTGGAGTAATAGAAAGAAAGATATGTTGGGGAGTCTAAGCATGCTTAACTTGGAGTAATTCTACGTTGGATGATCTCTTGAAACTTTTTTTAAGAAGCATATGAGCGAGAACAAAACATGTCGAAAAGATTTAGGATAACTTAAATTTATTATGGAGCGGAAAAGGAAGATGGAAAATGGAAAATGAGAAAAGAATATGATAAAGAAAAGAAGGAAGGAGAGAGATGGAAGCAGATGGGGCATGTGAGGGCATGTGCTATGTAAGGATCCCTAATCTGTCTCTGGATGTTAAAAATCTTGGAAAAACAAGAACAAGAATATCAATATCTGGGGATTGGAGTCAGAGAGACATACCATCGGCCGAGGAATGAAGGGGGCTCCTCCCTTCCCTTGGTCAAGAGATGAGACGCAACCTCCTTCGCTTCCATGCGCTCATTTTTCCTTAGTTATTGAGTGACCTGCTCAACGCCCACTCCAATGCCTTCTTATTTTCCTTCAACAACCACACCATTAGTTTCTCAAATCTATACATAAAATAAACGCTTTAAAAATCATTCCAAACTTCCCTTAAATCAGGAACCCATACTCTTTTCTTAACTCTCTAATTTATTTCATAATCATCTTAATCCATAGAAGTTATACATAAAGTGGATAACAAGATCTATTAGTGATTTATTGGGGACTCACAAACCATCAATTCAACTTCAGTCAATCTAAAAATGTCCCATTTGGATTGAAAAAAGTGTATAACAAGATATATTCTTGAAGCTTGTAAAAAGATCAAGAGTTCAGCTGGGCCTCCTCAACACTTTTCCTCAGAACAGATATAACTTCGGAAGGCTCAGGAGCTCCAAACACCGAACTTCCTGCAACGATGCAGTTTGCCCCCGCCGAAGCTGCTGCATCTATGGTTGAAGGTCCCAACCCGCCATCTACCTGCCAATCAAAGAAAAAAATGACAGTGTCAACACCATCCCTCGTATATCCATCTGTACATTGAATCGGAACTATAACGAGAGACGCTACAAGTTTGCACGTTCCTGCTAGCTTACAGAGATTGCATCTCAAGTCTACTTGCTAGATAAATCTGGTTTTTTGAACAAATTGTTTTATCATGGGAAAGAATTATGAAGACTTAAAAGACAGAGAGAGAGAGAGAGAGAGAGAGACCTCAATGTCAAGAGATGGGTACTTCTGTCTTAACTTCCGAACCTGGATAAGTTAAAATCAGTAAGAAGATTCAACAAGAGACGCCAATCAAACAATGCTCAAGGAATACTGAATATTTCGAAGTAATCGAACCTTGTCCATCGTTTCTGGCATGAACTTTTGGCCACCAAAACCAGGTTCGACTGTCATAACAAGAACCATTTCCACAGGATTTTCACTTTCTACCTGAAAATTGAAGAAAGAACAAGCATCACTTAACAAGTATAAATTTTTTGATGCAGAAGCATTTGCACAAAACCGTAAGCACTTTGCTGCGTTATATTAGATGAATCGGATCCTACAACATATCAATGAAAGATATGAAATTGGGAGAGAAGATGAGAGAATGAATTGCATACCAGAGCATAGACTTCTTCGATGGGTGTTCCAGGTTTTAGTGCTACTCCTGCCTTCATGCCCTTTGACTTAATTTCCTGGATCAATTGCTGCCAATTGTCTACCAGAGAAGAGGGAAATAAAACTTAATTTCGAATCAATAGAACTACAACAAATCTGAGGTCCAAACACAATGTACCTTTGGATACTTCAACATGAAAGGTAAGGCCTGAAGCACCAGCTTTTGCCAAAGGTTCAACGTAATCAAGTGGATTTGTAACCATAAGATGACAATCAAGATATGCCCTGCAACACAAGAAGTTTATTCCTCATTAAGTCAAGGTAATGCCATCGAACTCTAACAATTGGCCATTGCAAAAAGTAATCCAAATTGCTGAAACTGATGAAGCAAGGAGGTTATGTTACTTCGTATGTTTTCTTAAACTCTCAATGACTGGCGCACCAATTGTCAGATTTGGGACAAAGTGCCTGTGGCAAATGCATAAACAACAAAATAGTCACTTAGCTAGCTAGGCACAAGATATAAATCCAATGGAAACTTGAAGAGTTAGAAAAGCAAGCCCAAATTGTGTGTGCAATCCAGATTATGCACAAAGCACACTACCGAGAAATGATGCACAGTCCGTTACAGGGTGAATTCAACCAAATGATAATGGTCAAATTTCATGGGGTCACCATGTCAATTTGTTAAATGAAAAAACTTCGTGATTTTCTTAATTATTAGAAGTTTTCAGATGATTGTTAGTTACAAACTGAAGAAAGTAAAGAGGTAAAAAAGGTGGTAGCAGAAAGAATGTGGTGAAGGTAGATCAATGAACATAGAAAGCCAAATAATCAAATCATAACTCATCCACGATTATCAAGGATCTAAACATTAGAACGGAGGAGATGGACAAGAAGTCAAGAAAAAGTTGATGGAGGTGATGCCTAGGGACGAGGAAGGGTGCAAACGTAAGACGAAGAATGCCAAGCTTCTTCAATCGAGATTTATAATATACATAACACTGAATTGATGAAAAAGTTAAGATATGAACTCGATCCAATCGAAAATACACAAGATCAATGTTTTATTTAACTGGTATACTAGCATGCAATACCCTTCGTGGGCTTCAGCGCAAGGTGCAAGAAAAGAAAAATATTCAACTAGATGAAGCGCTCGATAACTAAAAAATGCATGCGTACAAATATCGACGCGTATATTATAAAACTAAAACTACATTCTTCTCAAGTTTCTACAGCCAATATTTACAAATAATCAGACATTTGGCTAGAAAGTAGGTGTTACAAGTGATCGACACTACAGAGGTGAAGGTCAAGTTATTTTCAGGGAAATTCAATCCTATACTAAACAAATGACCAAAGTATCAAACCCATTCACATGAAGCACATTGCAGTTCAACAGAAGCATGATATCAGCAAAGAATGATCCTACCCATCCTGCAAATAAACCAACAAGAGATATCAGATGTGATATCAGAAAATTTTATGTGCAAAGAAATTGCAGTTTGTTCAACCACGCCAACTCTAGCACATCTCAAACTTTGCAACCATGTCATTATAGCATCACTAATTGGATTATGCATTTCCTTGCGCTTTTCTCTACACTCTCACCAACCAATCAACAAGAAAGTGAAAAACGTTCTTTTAATAGGACTATAACAATTTTAGTATTCAGTTCAAAAGAAGTTGAACGTAAAAGTCTACTCGTGAAACAATCCATGGACTACCTTCCACTAGTTCTAGAGATAAAGTACTGAAACAGCATAGATATAATTTTGTCAAGACCCAGAAAAGCATGGACAAATCATATGATTCAAACAATTGAAGCCGAGTAGATTTTGAACCATTAATATTAGATTAGAGCTAAATGGTGGAAAATCAGTCTCAGAAGGCAAAAAACTAGGATCAAATTGTTGGTTTATGAAACTAAACCGAAGGGGATCGAGAATCGGAAGCAATTTCGTCCAATTATAACTGAAGAAAAGGGACAATTCAGGAAAACAGAAACAGAGAGCGTGTGGGTACCATAATATCCATATGAAGCCAATCCGCACCAAATTTAAGCATCCGTTCGGCCTCCGAAGCTAAATTAGCAAAATCTGAGGATAGCATTGACGGTGCGATTTTCGCAGCAACTCCCATTTCCGTCCGCCTCTTGCTCGCTTAGCCGATCAAAAACTCGAGCGATTCGTCTGCGAGGATTTTGAAGATATAGAATTAATTCTCGAGAATGTAAAAAATGAACCCCCAATGCCAGATGCTTTTTCAACAAATGCGTCGCTTTTATAGATTATATACCAACCCCTGGCGGCTCGATTGTTGAAGATCAACTTTAGTGGGCTCTTTTTAGACCATCTGAAAGTGGCATCCCTCCTTTTCTACACTTTTCTCAAAATTTGTCGCATCTTCACAAGGTTATTCACTTCTTGCATCCTTCCACGACTCGACTGATCAAAATTTTCAGTTTCACAATGATTCTCCAATCAATGTTTTTTCTTATTCTTTTTAAAAATTTTGATTTAAATCTTGTGTTTCGAAATTCTTTGAAGAAAAAGCCTTCTTTGAGTTTCGAGTTTGAAGCCTCCTCCTGTAACACACAAAATTGGCGGTTGGTGGAATTAGGGCGGGCTCGCCGACGTGTCGTAGATGTGGGAAGGGCAACGAATCAGAATCCGCTAATTGTCTTGATTTTGGTTGCAGGGTATCCCAGCCACATGAACTGCATGACTTGCATCGTGGGCTTGCTGGACTCAAATAAATCTGGGTCTTCACAACTAAGAAAACGGGCTTCTCAAAAGCTCATTGGTCTTTTGCGTGGAAAGCCCAATCCAATAGGCATGTGTCTTACGTGGAAAGCCCAGTCCAATGGGCTGGTCTCTTACGTGGAAAGCTCAATCCAATGGGCCGGTCTCTTACGTGGAAAGCTCAGTCCAATGGGCTGGTCTCTTACGTGGAAAGCCCAATACAATGGGCCGGTCTCTTAAGTGGAAAGCCCAAACCAAAGGATAGGTCTCTTACGTGGAAAGCCCAGACCAACGGGCTGGGCTCTTACGTGGAAAGCCCAATCCAACGGGCAGGTGTCTTACGTGGAAAGCCTAATCCAATGGGCAGGTGTCTTACGTGGAAAGCCCAGACCAATGGGCTGGTCTCTTACGTGGAAAGCTCAATCCAATGGGCCGGTCTCTTACGTGGAAAGCTCAGTCCAATGGGCTGGTCTCTTACGTGGAAAGCTCAGTCCAATGGGCTGGTCTCTTACGTGGAAAGCTCAATCCAATGGGCCGGTCTCTTACGTGGAAAGCTCAGTCCAATGGGCTGGTCTCTTACGTGGAAAGCCCAATCCAAATGGCAGGTGTCTTACGTGGGAAGCCCAAATCAACGGGCAGGTCTCTTACGTGGAAAGCCCAATCCAATGTGTAGGTCTCTCACGTGGAAAGGCCAGTCCAATGGGCAGGTCTCTTACGTGGAAAGTCAAATCCAATGGCGTAATCTACAAATAAATAAGGATAATTAACAGGAAAATACTAAAATTTTAGAAATTAAAATACTATATTCAAATACAAAATATATATATATAAAGTTTATGATATCCAATTAAAAAAAAAAAAAAAAAAAAAAAAAAAAGCACTTAACCTAACTCTTTCTTCTTCTTCTTCTTCACGCCGGCTCGTCCCCTGTTTCAGCAGCAGCTGATTGTCTCTGTCCTCCGCAGTCATCTTTCTACCGTACTTACGGCCGCAGCCTCCCTCTCAGCAGTTTGTCCGATTTTCTACTACTTTGTTGTTACTGGTATTCCCTCAATCTCCGTCTATGTCTTTCTTCTCACTCTATAGTCTAGTACGATGAGCTCTAAGTCATATTCATCAGATATCATTTTAGGTTCATTTGAAGTAGGACGGTTTCTACTTATCAAATATGGGTGTGAAAGGTACTTATATTTTTTTATTTTTGTAATTTATTCTGCTGATACCATTTGTTTGCTATTTGTTCTTGTTCATCCGTGCTTTTAAGTAACGAAACTCTTTATTGCCTTGATATCAGCCAAGAAACGGGATCTCAAGCTGAACCATGGGGATGAAGAAGAAGAAACTGGGAGGAATGCACTTCCAAAAACACAGGGGCAAGCCAAAGAGCATATTGAGCAGCTGCAAAGACTCCAAGAAAAGGTATTTTGGTTCTGTATATAAGTAATTCTCTCTATTTCCAGAGAAAACGATTACAATGACAAATTTTTTCTGGTAAGTGGTAACTATAATACTTCCGGGTTAAGGCAAAGATATGGGCTATGATCTTATTTTAGTTCTTGGTCGATTTGTATGTCAATGTTATAGTGTTAGAGTTTTCATGGGTTGGATTGAGAAACTTGTTGGACCCATCGTCATATACTTTTAATGGTATATTTTTCTAGTGTTGTTTGTTTGGTGTACTCACAGTCGTAGCTTCTTAAAGTGAAGTCATTTTGGTGGGTTGAGTTTCCCTTTGAACATTGCACTATTAGTTGGAATGTAAATTTATCCAACTCAAATAAGTATAGTTCAATGATGAACCTAATGTAATCCAACTATGGAATATATTGGCTGATCGGATTAGTTTGGGTTATTTAGATAATTTATTAAAACTATGGTATATGTGGGCTCCTCTTGAAATCATTGGTGTTCATGAAATTTTTCAGTATTACTACACCACACCAGTACTAGAACATTTACTAATTAATTGTTTGACCGTGCTTGTTCTTTTGTATAAAACTTCCCAGAGAGAAAAAGAAAAACCTATTAGACCGATCTCTATGTCTGACAGTTTCGTGGAGGAAACAGTGTAGATAGGCAATTTTTAGTTTGATTCTATTAAGACACAAGTAAGGCTTTGCATCCTTGTTCAAGATATAATGGTGGTAATATAAATGGCATTTCCCCTCGAGTTATGGAGTTCACATTGAGGACTTTTGGTTACTTTTTTGGCACAAATCTAAAAACTTATGGAATTCAGTTTTTCTGCTACAGTATGGTCAAGTTGCCGTGAAAGAAATAGATGAATTTTTAAGGAGAAGGTTTTAGAAGCTCATATCTTTATATGGCTGTACTATTCATTTAGTTTCTAGATGGAGTGTCCAGCCCAAAAATTTGTAATTCTTTTTTTGGTTCGAGCCACATGGAAAGTTCTTATAACTCAATGGGTGATTGGGAGAATGTCTTATTCTCCACTTTCCTACTCATGCCTTAGTTAATGAAAATTTTCCGTATAGTTGTTTTTTTGTGCAATTGCTGTTTATATAATTGAAGAAGAAGCTAATGAATGTTGCAAAGAAAAAAAAAAAAAGAGAATAAGGAGACAATGAGCATGTTAGATCTACTTTTCTTCATCTATGCATTTTCTCCACATTTCGATTGAAGTCGTTTTCTTACAGGATCCCGAGTTTTTTGAGTTTTTGAAAGAGCACGACAAGGAGCTTCTTGAATTTGATGATGAGGATGTGGATGTAAGTTCACTTAAATTATTTGGGCTGCCACTGTCCAATGCTTGTTGTCTCAATTCCTTTGATTTTTGGTGCAGGAGGATGCTGATGATGGTAAGGAAGATGCAGAGTTAAATGAAAATGATAAGAACTACGAACCTGAGGTTTCTGAGGAGGAAGAAGAAAAACCATACAAAAAAGTTATAACTACGGAACTGGTTGATTCTTGGTGTCACTCAATAGAAGAAAATGGAAAATTGGCTGCTCTTCGTTCTCTTATGAAAGCTTTTAGGACTGCATGTCATTATGGTGATGACAACGGAGATGATTCTTCAATAAAATTTAGCACGATGTCGAGTAATGTTTTCAATAAAATTATGTTATTTGTATTAAGTAAAATGGATGGAATTCTTAGAAAGTTTCTAAAGCTTCCCAGCTCTGGTGGAAAGAAAGAGACCATACAAGAGCTGATGACCACAAAACAGTGGAAATCATTCAACCATATCGTGAAGTCATATCTTGGGAATGCCCTTCATATTCTCAACCAAATGACCGACACTGAGATGATATCATTCACATTGCGACGCCTCAAATATTCTTCTGTGTTTTTGGTAGCATTTCCTAGCCTTCAGAGAAAGTTCATAAAGGTATTCCCAACTTAATTCTTTTATGTTTAATTTTCAAGGTCCTTGTGAGGTATATTCTAATTGTGCTACATAGCCCAGTGGAGTTGCTAAGAATCGGTGGAATCATTATCTATTTCATTCACACAATATTGTTTCTTCATTACCAATTTTACAGAGAACATGATTTTATTATCTGAATTTTTCAGGTTGCCCTTCACTTTTGGGGTACTGGGGGTGGTGCTCTTCCTGTGACATCGTTCCTATTTTTGAGAGATTTGTGTATTCGACTTGGATCTGATTGTCTAGATGAATGCTACAAAGGGATGTATAAAGCTTATGTTTTGAACTGCCAATTTGTAAATGCAACTAAGTTACAGCACATTCAATTTCTTGGAAATTGTGTCATCGAACTTTTTCGTATCGATCTTTCGATTGCCTATCAACATGCTTTCATTTTCATCCGTCAATTAGCAATGATCCTTAGAGAGGCATTAAACACAAGAACTAAGGTATATCTCTTAACCATTCTTATTCTTTTGTTTGATATTTATGTCCTCCAGTGGAGGGCTGGAGATATTGTTATTGTGGTCTCTACCTTTAGGATATTAATTGTTGGCAATGCTCTGTTTTCATTTAACGCAAAACTGACAAGATGATGGGGTGAAAAAATTGGACTTAACTTGGTCAGAGGGTTTTATCAGAATATCCTAGAATGGTTGGGTTATAATCAGTTCAGTTTTTGTCTTGAACCACTGGAATGTTTTCTTTTTTGTTCGTTTCTTTTTTCCCCATGTCCATGGAATATATTTTATCACTTCTCTACTTCTAGCTGATAGTATTTCTTGTCTAAATTCATTTCTTTAATTTGATGATTTTTACAGGAAGCCTTCCGAAAGGTTTATGAATGGAAGTACATAAACTGCCTTGAGCTTTGGACTGGTGCTGTGTGTGCTTATGGCTCAGAAATTGATTTTAAGCCCCTTGCATATCCCCTGACTCAGATTATTTCTGGAGTTGCCCGTCTTGTTCCAACTGCTAGATATTTCCCTCTGAGGTTAAGGTGTATTAAGATGCTGAATCGAATAGCTGCTTCTATTGGGACTTTTATACCTGTTTCCATGCTTCTTTTGGACATGCTAGAAATGAAAGAATTAAACAGACCCCCAACAGGAGGTGTTGGCAAAGCAGTTGACTTGCGGACTATATTGAAGGTAATTTTTCAACCCTCAAAATTTTTTTGTTTTGTATTGCAGATTTTATATTTTCTAAGTATTATTTGTTATCTTCCGTTTATATGATTATTCCACTTTCCAGGTAAGCAAGCCCACCCTAAAAACACGAGCTTTTCAGGAGGCATGTGTGTTTTCGGTTATTGAACAGCTTGCCGACCATTTATCTCAGTGGAGTTATTCTGCCTCTTTTTTTGAGTTATCCTTTGCCCCTGTTGTGCGCCTGCGTAGTTTTGCCAAGTCGACCAAAGTTCAGAGGTTTCAAAAAGAAACAAGGCAACTTATTCGTCAGGTATACTTCTTAGGTGTTAATAAATTTCTAGTGCAGATGTTTTCTTTTTCTAAACTAAAACTACTTATAGTATAAGATAATCAGGGACAGTAGTCGTATACAATTTTTTAGGGACGGATGTCTTCTCTTTCTACACTAAAACTACCTATATCCTTAAAAAGTGTCTGTCTTCTACAATTTTTGTGGGATAGGAGTCGTATTTCATTGATTGTGTGAGATTTTACAAAGAGAGGAAAGCCAATACATTAGCAGCCCAGGAAGATTACAAAAAAGGTTTTCAAATTGGCCAAATGAACGTTGAGACTCTAATTGTTTGAGTGATTGAGTGTAACACCTGCACCAAGATAGAGAAACAATAAGAGAACTATCCATAGGCTTCCCAGTGTTGTTAATTTAACTAGAAGGTTAATTTAAGTATTTTGTAAACTGCAAAGTTATTTTACATTGACTTTTCACTTCTTTCTTACATAGGTTGAGGCCAATTCAGAGTTTACAAATGAAAGGCGTAAATCAATTTGCTTTTTACCAAATGATCCTGCCGTATCATCCTTTCTTGAGGTTTGGACTTTTGCTTTTGCCATTTGCATCTCTTTATGCTTCCAGAATGTTTATTTGTGCTCTAGGTTAACCATAGTTGATGTCAGTATTTCCTGAAAATGAACATGTTAATTTCGTAGTGATTGTATAAACCCTCGAGGATGGAATTGATGAATGCATGATGTGGATTGAAGTCTTTTTCTTGACACGATTTTTAGTCTTCAGTCTAATTTTCTACTCCATCTTTCCATTGCTTTTAATTTTTTGGAAGCGTGTATGCCAGTTTCTTTCTGTAGTTCTTTTTAGCATTGGAATAGAACTATGCTCTCCTATTGATATCTTTGTTTTATAAAAATTCTGTAATATATTCGAAAAACATAATTGATAGTATTTGATTTTAGCACACCATTCCTTCTGTTTTAGGATAAAAAGAAGTTGGGGACCAGCCCACTGTCACAGTATGTCTCAACATTACGTCAAAGATCTCGGCAACTGACGGATTCTTTATCGGAATCTAGGTATATATTTCTCTGTATGGTTTAAACACCGTAGTGTAACCTATAGAATTCTGAAGATTTATTCTTATAGATTTAGTCATGTTATTATGTTAATCAATTTATTTATTCTAAACGAACGATTACAGTGTACTCGTGGGTGAACATGGATCTGTATTTGGGAAAAGTGGATCAGACAGTGAAGACGAGGATACTGGGGGAAGAGAAGGGACTTCTGTCTTTAGTTCCACTTGGTTGCCCGGAAGCGATTCCAAGTAAGTTACATGGTCAACATGGAACATTTTGATGCCTCTTCCACCATCTTCTTGCTGGCTTTTTAACACAAAATGAACAATGATTGAACTTTATGATTGTTAGGACGAAGCATCCAGAAGAAAAGAAAAGTAAGAAAAAGAAAAGGAAGATGGAGCAACAAGATAAGGCAGCTCCTAGAGACGAAGATGTGGTGGAGGACTTGGTGCTCAGTTCCGATGAGGATGACGAACCTTTAAATAACAGTTCTGCTGAAAGTGAAGACGATGAGGACGTGAAACCTGTTAGAAAGCAAGCTCAGAAGCTGAAAGCACCAGCACGGGGATCAAAGAAGAAGAACCGTTCGCCTGCAAATAAGGCAAAGAAGAGGAAAACGTCTCGATAAAAATGGATACAATGAGAAGCTACAACATAGCCTTAGCATAAACTCAATGAAAGAAATAGGTAGTTCACCTTTGTTTTTGGTCTTCACAGGTTAGTTCAAGCCGAAGTTAAGCAGTGCAGCTGAATATTGGGAGGAAGAACATGATTCACGGCTCATTATTTATTTATTTATGTATGCTTTTCTTTTTCCTTTTGGACAGGCATATTGTATATTTTAGAGTGAGTGATGACCAAGATTTATTTAATGTTGGGCAATGCCTAGAATTTTTGATCCATAAATGAATGGTTTTTTCAGGTTGAGATATGTACCAATGTTCTAGCCACTAATTGAAAATGCAATTTGGTTACTTAAACAGAAAGGCCCAATAATGGGTTGATGAGAGTGTTTGTAAGCTTGTAACCACCGTTGAATCATGATGACCATACACAAGACATAGCTTTGTTTCAACTCCAAGATTTCTCTTATCCCTTTAAGCCAACCACAGTTCGCTTTGAGGCAAGTCCACAAAATATACACAATCATAGCATTTTTTTAACTTTTGAAGGGCAGAAAAGAAAGGGATCCTTTAAAATGGTGTGAATAAATGTGTATATAAAGAGGAGAAGGCATCAAAAACAGAGCAGGAGCAGCTAAGAAGATAGAGATGGAGGGATTAGGGAGAGGCTTGTTTGTTGTTATAGCTGCTGCAGCTTCAATGCTGGAAATGGGTTTGGCCGATCAAAGACATGTGGTTGGGGGAACCCAAGGTTGGCAACAATCCATTGATTTCGACTCGTGGGCAGAAGCTCAGACCTTCAAAGTTGGCGACCAACTCGGTACATATACATATCTCTCTTCATCATCTTTTCAATTCCAAACCATATTTCATTGCATATTTCTCTTCATATGTGTAACAAAATTTGGTCAGTTTTCAACTACGCTTCGGGGCTGCACAGCGTGGTAGAGCTTCCGGACGAGAGTGCGTATGAGAACTGCGATATTGGGAGCGCCATCGAGTCGAAGAGCAGCGGGAAGGATGGCATCAAGTTGACGAAGGCGGGAACACGATACTTCGCGTGCGGCACCATGGGGCATTGCAGCCAAGGCATGAAGGTCAAGATCAAAATAGCCACTGGCACAGCTTCCTCTACTCCATCTCATCCTTCTTCTTCTGCCTCTTCTTCTTTTTCTTCACATTATTCTCTTCTGGGTTGCTTCCTCATCATGGCTTTTTACGCCTTGAGATTCATGTGAAATAGTTATTATGATCAAATCCCCTTAACCAGTTCATTCTTTTAAACCAGTTCGTTCTTTTAAACCAGTTTTTGGGTTTTGTTGTGGGGTTGTTTGTAACCCTTGTTCTGTTTTCATTATTTTCCTTTTTTGATTGCTAAGATATTATTTGGCATATTTACGTGGATTATTAAATAAATGAGGACAAGTTTTTTTGGGTCCTGGACATGTATTATGTCACCACTCTAATACCAGATGTAACAGCTCGAGACCATCCTTCTAAAATCGTGAGGCACTCCATAATTGTAAAATATGTTTGTTATAGAAAGGTTTCTACATCATATTTCCGACCAACTTAAATTTGAAACTTATATATTGACCGCAACTATATATTTCAACGACAGAAGAAGAAAAAAAAATCAAAATTGACTATCCAGTTGTTTATTGTAAAATTTAATAAATAGAACACAAAATTTGGTGAAAAAAAGAAGAAGAAACTAACGGTGGAATGCAGCAGAAGCAGGTGTAATTTGCTTGTCATCTGAGAAAATGGCAAGCAAATTCAGGGCACTTAGTTCCCTTTGTGGTTGCTTTTGATTCTGGTTAGATGAGGAAATGCAGTCAGGATGTTATATGGCCTTAAATCCTGCCTCGTCAATATCCCAATTACTGGCGGAACCTGCACAATCAAAACAACCCTTTAATTAACCCTAATTCATTCAACACAGAGCTCTGTTTCAGGCCTGCAATGGATCCGTGTACAAAGGAAGAAGAAGAAGAAGAAGAACCAGAGCTTACCCCAGCTGCTTCATATTTGGGCACAATCAGCAAATGCCGAAGCCCCACTTGCCGGAACAGAACCAGAGCTTTGGCCACCGACATGCTTTCAATCACTGTATACGGCGTTGTGTTCGTCAGAGGATGAAGATCAACGTACATTTCCATCTCCTCCTTCGTCACTGCAAGTTCCTCAATCTTCCCTTCCCTCTCCGCCAATTCAACCCATGTAAATTTCTCCCTCACTTCCCATTCCTCCGTCCTCCTCCTCTCTCTCAAGAACCATTTCTTCTTCAGCAACTGCAGCAAATGCTTTCTCAATACCACTCCGTGCAGCTCCGTCGCGCCCACCGCCATCCCCACTGGCGGCACCACCGCTTCCGCGTCCACTACAGGGAATCCATTGTGCGTCGTGTTCTTAAGAACCTCCACAATCCGAGACACTTTCTCCAATCCCCGCAGCGTTACCACCGCCGGTTTTGCGTCGGCGAGATCGCCGACGGTGATGTTCCTCATCCACGTCTCCGGATTTGCGTCCAGGAACGGAAGCCCCTTCAAGTGCAGAATAATCTCATAAATACTAGGGTTAAAACTGTCCCCGACGGTTTTCGATATCAGAAGGACAATCATCGTAATCGGAAGCAGGAGGAGATTATTCGTGAGCTCGAGGAATATAACACAGAGCGAAACCGTCATCCTCATCGAGCCGGACATTAACGAGGCAGCTCCGAGAACAGCCAAGAGTCCTTGATCGAGATTCGTGTAGGGTTTCATGAGAAGGCCGATGAGTCGGCCATAGCCAGATCCCATCAAGATGATCGGAAGGAAGAGACCGGAGGGGACGGCAATGCCAAAGGTGATTAACCCTAAAACGCAGTAGAGAAGGAAGAAGATTACAAGGGAAAGGGGCTGGAACTCGGCCGGAGTGTTGATGGAGAAGATGTTTCGAACGGCGTCGTCGTTGGTGGTAAGGAGAAGGGTAGCGAGGTCGTTGTAATGGCCTTTTGGACAGTTAAATTGCTTGAAGTTGCCGGAGCGGCCATTGGTGGGGCAAACGGAATCTGGAAGAGAAGGGTTGCAGGGAGTGCATTGGACAAGGTAAGGGAGACTGTACTGGCAAATTGAAGTGAAGAGCGAAACTCCTAAGCTTAGTAACAGCTTCTGCATTTTTCCCTTCCTGAAAATACCATTTGAATTCAGTGAGATCCATTGATGAGGAAGAAGAAGAAAATTGAAAGCAAGATTGCTTACTGGTTTATGAGGTTGTATACTCTCAGAACTTTGTGCAAAAGATGGTTGTAAAGACTCCCAAGGAACCCACCAAGAAGGCCAATGATAGCAACTGGTATGATGTCCATAATACGGTAACTCACAGAAACGCCACTGACATCAAACATTATAAGCCCTCCTTCACCAAACAGCCCACATTCACCAGCCTTGCATACTTCAATGAATGTTCTTAGCACCACCACAACAATGGCTGTGCTAAAAAATGTCCTCCACAGCAAGGCACTCCTCCACCAAGTAGCCACCTCTTCTAGAGCAAATAGAACACCCCCAACTGGAGCTCGGAAAGCTGCACAAACCCCCGAAGACGCCCCGCAAGTGATGAGATCTCGACGATCCCGATCGTTGTTGAAATAGCGTAGCCATGTCCATTTCACTCTATAGTTATCTGTCCCGCCTTGCCCAAGTAAGGAGGCAATGCAGCTGCCAATGTGTACTAGAGGCCCTTCTTTCCCAAGATCTAGCCCTGCTGCCACTGCCCCAATGCTCCCAATTATCTACAATGAGCTACAGATCAGTCTCATTTACAGAATCTGTTTTGAATCTTAAGGCTATCCACGACATATACGCACCTTAACGATCAGCGTTGTGGCGCCAAACATATTAGGAGTATCTATGCCATTGAGATAGGCTTTGATTTCTGGTATGCCAGGCCCAGCTGCAGTGGGAGCAAACCATACACAGAGAACAGCAGCAACCAAAGTGAGAAGGAAATTGGCAGTGGTAAAGTAGGCAAACCCCATCAAGTATCTGAGTCCAAATCAATACAAAACCATAAATTTTGAGTTCATGAAGTTCCTCATTTTCGAACAAAACCAGGTCCGATTGGGGGGATGTACTCAATACTAACCTTTCTTCTTTTATGTATTCAACCACTTTCAAAAGCTTGTAACCAGCAATGTTTTCAATGGCGAGATTGATGAGAGTAGCAATGATTCCTGTAAGAAGTCCAACAAGACAAGCCAATGTCCATTTCGAGAATATGTACTGCAACACTTGAACTCTGGATCTGCTTCTCCAATCATGTTTAAACAGATCGTTCTCATTGATCCTGAATTCAAACCAAATCCAATTCAGAAAATATGAGAATTCAATCCAAAAAGAAAACAAAAAACAGGGGATGTTCTGTTTGTGTTGTGTTGTGTTATATTACTCGTAATCCAAGCTTTCAATCAGAGAAACTTTGGTTCCAACAATGGCGAGAGGACTGGAAGAGAGAGTTCTGCTTCTCTTGAGAAGAGGTTGGTTTAAAGGATTGCTTTCCGGGTCTCTGTCTTCTTCTTGAGGCTCTGCTTCCATGGCGGTTGTGAGCGTTGATTCTGTGACAGAGCTTGAATTTTCCTCCATTGAAATGGACACACAGAGAGAGGAGAAGCTTTGGGGTGGGTGGTTTGTGGATTGGAACACAGCGCAGAGCTTCTCCCCTTTTCTTGGACTTTTAATGGACCAAATTTATCTCAATCATGCATCTGTCTTGTCGCATTCTCGCCTGTGGGCATTGGAACGAACCCTTGTTTCTTTTTTTTTACTATTTTTTCTTCTTTATTTCATTTCATGTTTCTGCCTTCTTCTTGAGCTTTCAACGGCCCAACTTGGCACTCATTCCATCATTTTGATGATTACTCGATTACATTAATAAATTTATATAATTAAATAATTTAATAATTAAATAATTTAATAATTAAATAATTTAATAAATAAATAAAGCTCGTCTCCCACACACACATTGTGATTATCCGCTTACTTGTAAAGGGACACGTTCCCTCCCATTTTAAATATTTAATTCTTATTCATAGAATAGAAAGTGCTTTTAATAAAAATATCAAAACCCATTTTGTAAATTTATTAAAAAAAAAATTATATAATATTGAAAATATGAGATGGAAATAAAATAAGATATTCTTTTATAATATGAAAATTCCAAGTATAGTTTTTTCGGTTGAAAATTATACTACATGTATTCAACGAGATCTATGCGTCCTAACATGCATGATCACATGTGCCATGTGCTGTCATGTGCTATACTACGAGTATAAGTAATACTTTAAAAAATATACAATATTAAAAAAAATATATATATATTATAAATATAACAAAATTTATTTCATCCTATTATCTCTCATTTTTGCAAATATTATTTCTGATGAGGAGCAAGCTGGACCCATGAGTTGGAGATGAGCATAAATTGGTAATGATTGGAACACGTGGTGCGATCTACACCGATGGATTAAGAAGAATGGACGGTGGATCATAAATGGATATTCGGTGGTTACGTGCAAGGTAGCCTATTTAAGTTTTACCATATGTGATTTCAATAATTTCGGCCAACAGCATTATAGCTTTATTTATATATTCTTATAGCTTCATTTACGTGTCCACCTATCTATGTAGACCAACGTGGAGCTCATGGGTAGTTTTTTAAAGCTAAAATCAATTTATATCTTTAAATTTTTATTTAATAAAAATCCTTAGTTAATAATTATATTAATTCCGAATTTCTCCTTTTTTAAAAAGTGGGTAAATGTGTAATTATATTTAAATTAATTAATTATTAGTTTATGAATATAATTGATCATGGAATGTTGAAATAAGTACTTTTTTATTATTTTTTATTATCGTTGTTTTAAAGATATCATAATATTTAAATGAGAAATATGATGGTGAGCCCTCGAAATATATTATAAAGTAATAAAAACAGAAAACAAACGAAGGAAAAGTACTTTTTTTATATATATATTTTTTTTCCAGGAAAAAAACATTTTCACGCACAAAAAAATATAATAAAAGTAGGAAATGAATGGGAGGACACGTCAGATCCACGTAGGATGAGATGTCATTAAAAAATGTGCGCATGGGTTGTGTGAACTGAGTCCCCATGAAAGGTCAGAAATCGAGCCCTTTTTTGTATTTTTAAATTCCAACAAATAACCACGGATTGCACGAGGAAGAAGAAAAAGAGACAAACTGTGTGGTGACTGGTGAGACACGTAGCTGCGTTGAAAGCAAAACGGTGCGTTCTCGTGACGCCCCTTCCTTCACCCACTCCAATTTCACTTATTTTATTATTATTTTCTTGGTCTCAGAATGACGATTTAATGATATTTCACTGTAAGTACACGAAAATTCATTGCTGTGTTTGAATAAGTTATAATAATGTTCATCACATCATTTTATATAACAAATTATTTTTGAAAAATATATGTGGACCATAGTTTTAAGTCTATATTTTAGCCAATAAGACCTTTGAAATTTGTTTGAATTCTATTTTGTGACTCGAAATACGTGTACATGATTCGTAATATGTGATGGAAATAATCCAAGGTGATAATTATCCAAAAGATTTTAAATATTTATTTTATATTTATAAAAAATGGATATTTTTATAATTGTGATGGATTAAATATAAAAATTATTGTTGAATTAAGTTCCCTCGAAAAAGTAAAATTTAAAAATAACTTTTATTTAGTTAATGATAAATTTTTTTTTATTTGAGACAAACCTAGTTAAATTTTCTCTTATTTGTATACTTGTTATATGAGTATAGAACTAGTGTTTTTTTTGTCCTCTTAAAAGACTGAATTAGGGCTCTCAAGGTCTCCTTGGACCACGAGCAAGTGAAACACAGCCGGTGCTCATCGTTAGCTGGCCTTAGCCACATTAGCTTAAATCGAAGTGAGCATGGAGCTTTAAAACCCAGTTAGGACCCGGACTTTGCTTAATCCCAATAAATTTTTAAAAATTTTTAAAATTTGAATTTATTCCTAATATATTGATTTTAAGATTAGATTATTAGTTCAACTCCTAAAATTTTAGATCCTACATTTAAAAAAAAAAAAAAAAAAAAAAAAAAAAAAAAAAAAAAAAAAAAAAAAAA